GATGGATGGATGGATGGATGGATGGATGGATAGATGGATGGATGGATAGATAGATGATAGACAGTCTGATGGATTGCTAGAGGATGGAGGGAGGAGACAGGACAGATTGACTTAAGGACATTCATCAAACACTTACACGGGAGTTTGTCCAGAGGTGGGAGAAGGGCATTGCAGGGCAGAAGGACTGAGAGCAGCACTGAAGATAAGAAGGGGCGAAACAGAGAAACACAGACAACAGAGGAACGCTGCCCAGTCCAGCAGTGACAGTAGGTCAGGAGGTGTGGAGCCTGTGAACTCAGCCCTTGCCCTGGGGGTGGAGGGCAGCAGGAGGGAGAGGGAGGGAAATCATTAGGCAAGTAGGCTGACACACAGCACGCTCTAACTCAGGGCTGGCCTGGGAGCCCCTGAGCTCCCAGCACCGGGCAGGGGAGGCTGGCGGCGGGGAGTCTGAGGACGTATCAGCCGCTCCACCGAGTGGGTCCCTCGAAGGGGGCAGAGCACAAGAGCCAGCTTTCTGCAGGGGACAGTGGCTGACAGTCTTCCTTGTCTTCCCCTTCCTCTCCATCTCTTTTCCTTCCGTTTGTTCCTTCTCCTCGTACACATGGTCTGGTTCGCACCCCCCAACCCCCCCAGACCCTCCCGCGGGAGCAGCTTCCGCCGCTGCAGACTCCGCAGCTGACCAGCTCCATCCCACAGCCCTTCCAGAAGTCCTCTCAGCCGCGGTCAAGAGCCTGCCTTAGTCTGCTCACGCTGCCACAGCCACGGACCCCGGACTGGGGCTTAAACAACAGGAATGTGTTTTCTCACGGTTCTGGAAGCCAGAAGTTGGAGAGAAAGGTCTTGGCAAAGTTGATTTCTTCTGAGACCTCTCTCCTTGGTGTTGTAGACAGCCATCTGTCCCCGTGTCTTCACACGGAGTGTGCATCTGTGTCCCAGTCTCCTCTTCTTCTAAGGACACGAGTCAGATTGGGTCAGAGCCCAGCATAGGACTTCATTTTACCTTAATCCCCTCTTTAAAGACCCTCCTTCCACATACAGCCACATTCTGAGGTGCTGGGGGTTAGGACTCCAACAGAGGAATCCTAATGGTGGACACAATTCGGCTCACCAGGCACCAAGTGCAATTTTTCAATTGCATCTTGATCTTTTCATTTTTTTCCTAAATGTGTCAGCGGCTACTGTATGGCAGCCCCCAAGCTGCAAGGAGTCCAGACTGCTTCCCCAGAAAACAAATATCCGAGCCCACACGGCTGCCAACGGTGACGGGACTCAGAACTTCATTGTGTCATACGCATCAGCAGGGGGCCCTGGGCTAGGTCCTTGCCCGTGCTGAGCCTCAGTTTCCCCAACTAGAAAACGGAAAACCCTCCACTCTCGCCTCACCCGTGGAGAACGGAGCCTGCTGAGGTCACGAGCAGGCACTGGGGACCGCCTGCCTGGGCTGGGCCCACGGGCTGTTCTGACCGCCCCATCTGCAAACGGACCTTGCGGGTCGCATGAGGGCTGAGCTCACACAGTGAAGGGCCAACAGTACTTGGCACAGTACTGTGGCAATTGCTGTTGTCACCTCCTCTGGCTGGGATAAGGACTGCCCCAGCCAAGTCCCACAAACTTAGTAGTTTACAACAGTAGAAACGTATCCTCGCACCATCCTGGAGGCTCGAAGCACAACGTCAGGATGTCCGCAGAGTTGGGTCCTCCTGAAAGCAGTGAGGGGAGGGTGTGTTCCAGGCCCTTCTCTGGGCTGCCAGCGGCTTCCAGAGTTCCTTGGCTTGTAGCTGCCTCACTCCAATCTCTGCCTCCGTGGGCACATGGCCTTCTTCCTTGGTGTGGGTCTCCATGCCTCCTTCTATAAGGACACCAGGGCCCAGCTTTGAGGCCCACCACAGTCTAACAGGACCTCACCTCCACTTGATTATATCTGCAGAGACAGTGGGCAAACAGCGCCACATTCACAGGGCTTGGAGTTAGGACTGCACCATATCTTTGGGGGGGACACAGTTGAACCCACAGCTCCTTCCCTGTCCAGGGTGACTACTTCATCCCAGTTTGCCCAGGACTGTCCCTGTAAGCCCCACATCCCAGAAAACCACTTGGTCCGGAGCAGCCGAGGAGAGTTGGTCACCCTATCCTCCCTGGCTCATCTCCCAGATAAGCTGCATGTCCTGACACCCCGGTCTCACGCTCTGCGTCTGGGGACTCCCAGTACCTGTAACACTAGAACCGTCTCCCATACAGGATAGATGGTGACTAGTAACAGCTGTGGCTGTTTGTTGTCCTTAGTCCCCTTATGTGCCAGGCATTTCCAGGAGAAAATGCGTAGACTTTAGGTCCGACAGCCTGACCTTGAATCCTGACCGTGCCTCTCGGCAGTGAGGTGACGCACATGCTGGTCAAATTTGTCCAACTGTGATTGCTCCCTGAGCTGTAATTTTCATGTCTATATAACAAGAGAATGGCCCCAATTTTGCAGTGGGGCTCCCGAATGATTTAGAGATGGAAGTCAAGTCTTGAGCAGTGTCTGCCCGTGGACACTCAGGATTGGCCACTCTCATGGTCATTACCAGTACTGTCTGCTGTGTGGTCCTAGGGACACTTGGGAAGAGGAGACAGGACAGAAAGATCAGTTCACGGTGAGTGCCGGAAGCTTGCAGCGCCCCTAACTCACTGAGCCATCCAGGACGAGCGGCCTCTCAAAGCTTGCCTTCTCCCCACTCCTTCCTTTTTCCCCCCACAACCTGCCCCTTCCTGCAAAAGGTTCTAGATATGCATGGATGGGGTGGGTGGCCTTCGCTGAGCACACCAGCCTGCCTGCCCCCTCTACCCAGAATCCTAGATAGACTCAAAACAAAAGGTACAACCTGCTAGAAGGTGAGACAGGGTCCCAAGGGTGTAGTCGTAACTACGAGGACATCTCTTAGAGAGCGGATGGGATGAAATGAAGGAGAGAGGACAGGGCCACGGAGAAAGTGGAAGGGGTCCCTGAACTATGGCCAGGGGAAGAATTTGAAGGGGCTGAGGTGGGAAAGGAGGGCCGTCCAAGCACTTAGGAAACTTAGGAAGCTGGGTGTGCGGACGCAATAGCCAGAACTTCCTTCTTCATACGTCATATGCTTTAGTTGCATGTTAAATCTTCACCTCGGGCATGATGTTTAGCATTATAATGAGGGGAAAGTCTGTGGGAGGCAGGGAGGTCCACTGCAGCTCCAGCTGGTCTGGTCTGGTCTGGTCCCTGCAGGAGCAAGTCAGTGGTAAGTCGGGCCCTGGAGCTTGTTTGAATCTTCTGCGTTCCAGCTTCCTGATGGCATGCAGCACCTGCCAGGTGGGCTACAGAAATGGGTTATCTGAGGGGCCCGAGGTCTTCTGCAAGTTCCTGTTCTGCAGAAGAAGTGCCTCAGAAAAGAGAACTGCAAACAAGCAGATAGATATTCAAAGAGCTTTCATTTTGAAACAGACTGAAACTGTAAGGAGATTAGGGCCCAAGGGCAACTTCAGCCCAAGATCTGCTTTTCTAGGTAGATGCCTAAGAATCTCTGTCTGGCTCAGTTTCTGATGAGGGCTTTCTTCCTGGCTGGCAGCTGGCCCCCTTCTCACCGTGGCTTCCTGTGGCTTCTCGGTGTGCACAGGGAAGGAAAGAGCGATCTCTCTCTCCATCTTCTTATAAGGCCACCCCTCCTATGGGATTTGGACCCCACCCTTATGGCCTCATTTTACCTTACTTACCTCCCAAAAGCCATATCTCCAAATACAGTCACATTGGGGGTTAGAGATTCAACATATGAATTTGTGGGGCACATAATTCAGTCCATAGCAACAAGGAAACCTAAAGGCAGATTGATTTGTTGGATTCAAATCTGACTGACAGAGGGATTGATTTGTTCACTCCATAAATATCCACTGAGCGCCTGCTATTGTCCACGCACTGACCTGGGCATTGGGCCACAATGATGAGCAAAACCAGACATAACCCTGCTGCCTCATGGAGTGTACTGGCTAGCGACAGACAGTCATTCATCAAGTAGCCACATACCTAACTATGCAGTGACCATCGACATGCAGGGAAGGAGAATGGAACCAGGAGAGATGATGATTCAGGGGCCTGGCCTGGGGCAGGACCGGCCCCTGGAGGAGAGAGACAGGAGCTGAGGAGGTGGAAAATCACAGGAAGAGGGATCAGCAAGTGAGCAGAAGCATGGTGGGAGGTGGGAGTGACGAGGCCCATGCGGAGGAAGCACAGAGAAGAGACCTCCTTGACTCCGCAGGGCTAGCTAAGGAAGTGGGTTTTCATCCCAAGAGCCACGGGAAGCAATTGAAAAGTTTTAAGTAGGGGGCTGGCATGACCAAGGTATGTTTTTGCGAGCCTCCCCGGGCTGCCTTGCAGAGAACAGACAGGGAAGAGGCCACGTGGACTGGGGACACGGGTGAAGAAGGTGAGAGGCAATGATTGCTTGGGCGAGGTAGGGTTCCACAAACTCCTGCCCACCGCCTGATCTATTTTTCTGTAATTAAAATTCTACCAGAGTACAACCACGCACATCCATTTATGGATCACCATCTGTGGTTGCTTCCTCACAAGGGCAGAGTCCGGTGGTCCCATATGGCCCTAGCCGACCGCTGGGCTGGACTTCCGGAGTGGGCAGGCCAGGGGAGGCGACACGGAAGAGCTGTCTGAGGAAGGAAGCCCGCTGGGACTTAGTGCGTGGGTCCCACATGACGGCTGTGGGGACAGGAGGTGGCACTGATGACTTTCAGGCTTCAGCCGGCAGGGTCCAGCCTCAGACACCCTCATTTATGGTGTGTAACTATGAACTTAAAATAACGTTCAGCAAGTATGACATTTTGCTATCATGATGACTATTTTTTTTATAGGCCTAGTTTTCAAAAAAGAAAACAAAAGGCTGCCATTTCCTCGAGGGTCCCAGGGTTGGAAGCTGATGTATTCATGGCTCATGTGAGAACATCTTCTGAAGATGCTTCATCCAACACTGTCCGCCTTTAAAGTCCACATCACACGTGTGGTGTGCCATCCAGGAATATTGATATAGGCATGGGAAGCTTTAGAAACCTGTACGGAGATGGTTTCGCAGCTAGTTTGGGGATTGTCTACCTGATGTTCTTTGTCTCTCCTTTCCACAGAAAAGTCTGGGCACCTACTGTTTCCTAGTCTTTGCTGCAATCTGCCTCACAGGTGCTGTCTATTTCTATTTTGTCCTGCCTGAGACGAAAAACAGAACCCAGGCGGAAATCAGCCAGGCATTCGCCAAAAGGAACAAGGCATACCCACCGGAGAACACTGACTCAGCTGCATCTGACACTAAGGTGACCAGAAGGCCCGAGCCAGACCCCGCCTCCACTCTGGACAATTATGTCAAAAATGGGGTTGTCTAAATGGATGATCTCACCATTTCAGGAAACCAAAGATTTCCCTACATGGTTAATAGTATTAAGTATTTAAAAATAAACCTTTGCTAATCTAATGTCACAACCATTGGGGTTTTATTCATAGCTGAGTCTCCAAACTCTTCTGGAAGGTGGAAGGGATTTCAGCTTATGTTTCTCTAGATCCACCCTTCTTCTATTTGGATCAATGGCCTGTCTCCTTCATGACTCAGCCCACGGTTTCAAAATGAAATTGGGGAAATAGCACTTGACAGCTTTCTCAGAGGAAAACAGTATAGAAAACAGGGGACACAGGAATGGGAAGCCACAGACTGATTTGCTAGTTCCATACGTAGCCTCGAGCTGCCTCAACCTAGGTCCTGGGGCCTCAAGGGACCCTGGGCTTTGGTCCTAGATGAAGGTTTTCGGAATTTAGTGGAAAGACTCTTTGTACCTCCTAATACATACCTGTGACCAACCTTTGGTGTGGCCTTGTGGATCTCAGGCTCAAGAAGCTGATACCAACGCACCATCCTCCAGGTTCTGCCCCTCCCAGACTGTGTCCCATCCCTGAAACTGTCTCCAACTCAGAGGATCAGATGTGTGTTAGAAGGCATAAAGAGGATCAAGATGTGGAAGAAGGAACTTTCCAGTGGGTGGGGCAGGGATGCAAAGGGAGTTTTGTTCAACTTAAAAAAAAAAAAAAAACAGTATTAAGAATGACTCGGAAGCTAAGCCTAGTCTTGGTGGAAAGACAGGGCAGAAGACCCACGTCATAGCTCAACCAGTAAAGCTGAGGGCACATTCTCCCTTCCTCTGTCTCTTTGTTTTCTATTCAAGCCCTTGACAGATGGGCTGAGGCCCACCCACATCGGGAAGAGCGATCTGCTTTACTCAAGTCCACCAACTCAAACGCTGATCTTGTCTGGAAGGCCCCTCGCAGACATGCCCAAAATAACATTTAACCAAAATCTGAGCACCCCGTGACCCTGTCAAGTTGACACATAAAATTAACCATCACAGAAGGTGAGTTCGCTGTTTCTCAGAGTGCTCAAGCAAACGTGGGGTGATTGCTTGTCTTGACTGTTGTTAAGGAAATCTAAGTGTCGCTTGCAGAAGAAGTTGTTAGGAGTAGATACGCTTGAGGACTCTTCCAACCCTTTTGTGCTAGGGCTGTTTGGGTTGGAACAACTTCCAGCCTGCCGTGATAACGTACATCTGTGTGGTTTGGGCCATTCCCTGTACTTGCCTCCAGGATGAAACAAACTCAAAATGCCCCTAGATAAATGAAAGTGTGAGTGAGTTAGCACACGTGTGTTTGAATTTATGTCACAGTAGGAGTGGGCCAGAGAGGAACACCTCTGGACAGAGCAACACCACTGGAACCCCTTCGGCCCCAATCCCTCGGGCTTTTCTGACCATTCTTGACAAGGATAGCCTTAGCCAAAATCTGAATTCTGAGTTTCCTTTCCTGCCGCACACTTTTTCATCACTGGGCTACTCCTTTCGTTGATTGCCAACTCAATGCCCCGTACTCCCCAGCTTTGGTTTGGCGGAAAGATTTGGACAGTGTTTGTCAATATGGAGAGAAAGTGATAGGTGGGTACAAAAAGGTGCTTGAGACCAAAAAAGCCAAATAAAGTGCAAAAAGAAATCTTAGCTGTGGAGTGTTGTCTTTCCTGCATAGACTTGAGTATTTAGCTTTTAAATAGTAGGTACCTAGCATGGGCTAGGCCCTGGGTAGGTAGGCCCTGAGGAGCCATCAGTGAGCAGGAAGATACAGTGCCCTTCCCTGCATTCACTCATGCCTGCCACAGAAGATTGAAAATCAAAGAAGCAGGAACTGTGAAGTGTCCCGTCAGGATCCGGAGGAGGGGGGACACAGCGATGTAGGAGCAGGTCACAGGACCACGTCATCGGGGGTCGGTGAGAGGTGAGAATCAGGAAGGGGGCCTTCCCAAATGATGAACTGGGAAAGCAACACAGCCAACAGGCGGTCGGCTGGGAGTTAGTCCTAGCGTTTCCACATTTGAAAAGTCAACATTAAGTAAATGTTTGAAAAAGAAAACAATAAGACGCCCATAATCTCACATGCTTCCATTTCCCTAACACCATCACTCTCATCCTTACACATCTCTGCCTATTTCTGGCCAATGATTCACACTGTTATAGTCACAGAATACATAACAACGATTTACAACTCTCTTGGCTCTTATCTCCTATTTTTCCCCACTTTCAATTAAATCAAACAGCATCTCCATTCCAGAGCCTTTCTATCGTACTCCATGTGGCAAATCGAGAATGCTGTCTTCCGTGTAAGTTCTAGGAGGAGAAAAGAGCATCTAAAAGAAGGTCTTTTCAGTGATGAAGCAGATACTTCAGAAATGGCCTCATAGTTTTGTCCTGTGAGTGAAACTAAAAATGAGCAGTTTTGTGCTGGACCTATGGTAGGTTTTCACACATGTGACCCCCTTGTTTCTCACGACAAGACGGTGAGGTTAGTTGTGAACACGCTTATAATGTCTATTTCTTTTTCTATTTGGAATCTAACACAATTTTAATTAAAGAGCCTGGACCAGAGCCCAGGGATACTGGACATGACCTACCACCTGCTGAATCTCCAGCCGTTAGCACTGTTCCTTACACACTGTAAGTGCTAAATAGAGAGCAGCTGAATGAATAAATTGTGAATATGATAATTTGTTGAAATCAGGAAATTTTGAGAGATATGGAAACTAAGTTTAAAGATACTAGAAATCACCAGGCCAGCAAAATGTGGCTGACACCGAATTGCACAGAACACACCCAGCAAATGAATGTCTGTCAGTGAGTCCTCTTTCAGTTGCGGGGGACAGAGTCCTGACTGGTACTAGCTTCAAACTTAAAAATGGAAGATTTTCATTTGCTAACCTAGAAGTCTAGTAAGGCAATAAGCTTAAGTCTTGCCTGGATTCAGGGGCTCAAGTCACATCACTCATGGCTGCAGCTCTGTCTCTGTCCTCTGTTGGTTCTGCGGCTCTCTGCTTAAGAATCCCAATGTGGCGGCCTCCAGTAGCCCCCAGCCTTGCACGTTCTCAGCCTGGCCACCCAGTGGGGGGAAGGAAATCCCTCTCCCAGTGTATTATTTATCTTTTGCTATGGAACAAACCTTAGTAGCTTAAAAAGAACAGCCATTTCACTGCTCACAATTCTGTGGGTCAACAAATCGGGCAAGGCTCAGCTGGGCAGTTCTTTGGATCCATGTGGTGTCCTCTGGATTCAATCAGGCATTTGTGGTCAAGTGGTATCAGCTGGAGGCTGGTTGGGCTCAGAGGGCCTCATGCACATGTCAGAGGCCTCAGCCGGGATGGCTAGAACAGCTGGGATGTCTGAACCCCTCTCTACAAGGTCTATCTCTACATGAAGTGTCTCCATCTCAGCCTGGCTTGCTCACAAAGTATTCTAAGAGAATGAGAACAGAATCTGCAAGCTCTGTGGAGGCTGAGGCTTGGAACTCACACATCTCCTCAACTGATCAAATCAAGTCATGGGACCAGCCCCAATTCAAGGGGAATGGATCCCACCTCTTGATGGGAAGTACATGAAATCACATCACAAAGGGACAAATAAGACAGGAGCTGTTGTGGTGGTGGTCAGCTTTGCAAACACTCTACCACCCTTAATGTCCACATATCAGCCTCACAAAGAGTCTGGTTTCCTACTCAGTTCACATGCATATCCCCAAGGCCATCACAGTGACCAGGGAGGATGAGTTGCTCATATGCTCAACCCAGAAGTGGTGGGCAGGGGGTAGTATGATCTGAATGGCAGCTCTTCCAGAGCCACCTAGAATCAGAGGGGGAATCCCCAGCAAACCAGAAAAGGATGGAGAAGTGTGCTCAGGAGACAAAACGGAAGCTAGCAAGCTCCAGGGCAGGCTCTATCCATCATAAGGCGGTGATGATCATCCAGGAAAGCTTAAACATAAAGCCGGAAGCATCAAGGGCATTGACCATTTGGCCCTCTCAAGGATAAAGATACCCTGACCCATAGACTCAACCTGTCCAGTTGCCCCTTAACTTTGGAAATGAATGCACAACTCTCAACGTGAGCTGCCGGAAACAACAAACATTCCTGTCAGTTAACTCCCGTGCCTTTTTTCTCAGTCCATAATGCCCTGGTGGCCTTCCCATTAGAATGATTTCCAACAAGCTGCTCAAACCAGTTGGAACTCTGATTTTTCTTAATTCTATATTTCACAGCAAAAATTGGCAAATTATCATGCCTGGCTTGTAGATCACTGTCTGGTGAGAACAGTAGGGATGTGTCACCCCCACTCCAACTAATTCTCAGGTACCAAGAAGTTGCATCTTTAAGGCTAAAAGCCAGACTGTGATGAATCTGCAAAGCTCTTATCCCTTGAGGCATCTTGCTGAGGCTTTCTTGGAGGCTCTTGAGCTCCGCTGAGTCTCCAGGTACTGTCCCAACTTGACGTCAGAAGAAACTAAGGTTTCGAGAAGCAACTTGCCCAAGGTCACGAAACTGTGGACCATAAGCCATAAAGTGGCCCTTCCCCACTCATTAATTACAATCTGTTTACTCACAGGACTCTTGCCGTGGTCCCACTCTATGCCCAACTATATTCCAGGTGCTACCTATAGGATGGGAAAGAAAGAAATCTCCAGCTATCATGGAGTTGACATTCAAGAGGAGGGGATGGCAAATAAGAACGACGGGAATAAATAGGTCACACACAAAAAGCGAATGGTGCTGAATACAGTACAAAGGATTAGAACATGGTGTCTGGGTTGTGACTTTAGACTGGGTGGCCGCAGAATGACAATGTGAGAATAGCATCCCACCGTTACCCATGGAGCTCAGATGCCCACCTGCAAAATAGGTAAATCTGTTAGCTGGACAAAATTACCTCTAGAGCATCACCCTGCACAACACATCCTGTGGATAAAGGACTTGGTAGGCTACGTTAGTGTCATATAGGTCAGAATCAGTTAAAACCATTAACTATCTATAGCAGTATCTATAATTTATTGAGCTGTGCTGGATGCGTAAAATCAATGATCTCTCATGCTCCTGACGACCTTGCCAGTGCAGGTGTTAGTCTCAGCATTTAACTAGTGGGGGAACTGGTCGCGTTCACTGAGGTTAAGAAATCTATGCCAAGGGAGGTGGGAGAGGGCACGTGGTAGTGAGTTTGCCATGGAGCCTGAAGCACTGTTTGGAATTCGCTGTGCCACACCCTTCCTCTCTCCAGACATCCCCCCCCCCACAATCCCCTCCTCCTCCTCCAATATTCCAGAGACCCGAGTCCCACCTCCCTTTGCCCTCTCCTCCCAGAGGTCAGCAGGGTTTCTATTTGCATGGGAAAGGCATCTGGCTTCCCACAGCCAAATGGTTCCCTCCAACCCTCACTAACCAGGTGCTCCCCAGCCTCTGAGCCTAGTGAAATCAGCAACCAGGACCACGGGGGCTGGGGAGGGACTGGGGCAGGACGATAGGATGCCCAAGGACCTCCCTCCCACCCACCCCGCCTCCCCAGGGCACTTTAAGGCAGAAATTAGTTGCCCAATTGTACCATTTGTATTCTGAAGTCTGGGGCCTGTGGATATCCTAGTGGATGAACAATGGAGTTTGTATTTGAGCCCGAATACTCTAAATCCTAACCTAATGCTCATTTTACTGTGCCGCACATGTCAAATATATAAAGGGGTTTTCTCAACGAGGGAAATTAGAATCAACACGAGGCGCACAGCCCCATCTCTTTTCTTCTCGTGATATCGAGAGCCTCCCAAGAAAGGCCACTTTGTACCAAACCCCAATGTTGTCTACCTCCAGGGCTGCAAGGAATCACCAGTGTCTGATGATGTGAGAAACAAAGGCAGAAGAACAATTATTAAATGTCCTTACTTCCTACAGCCCACTGGCAAGTTCTTGAAACAGGGAGAGTGACCTTCCTCTAGGGACTCAGCTGCCTCGATGTTAATACTCTGCTAAAGGCAAAAGGCAATCTTAGCCCAACCCCCAGGATCCTGTGAGTCTACTTCAACATATAAAAATTCCTTTGGAAACTTCCTTTATCTCTACTCCCCAAGATACATGTTGGCGATCATCCCCCAGTCATAGGACCCACCGATATGCATGTGAAGGGTCTCATGACTAGGGTTTTACTGGACAGTAAATGACCTTTTCCCAGCAATAGCTAGCCCCCTCAAGGTCCTGGAAACCTTGCTTCCAAATTCCTTAGAGACTTACGCTATCCCTAATGCCCTCCCAACTTGAAAGTACATAATGGACCACTCCTCACGACCCTGGTGCGGCTCTTTCTGCCCAAGGGTCCTGTCTCCATGCTCTAATAAAACCACCTTTTTGCATCAAGGATGTCTCAAGAATTCTTCCTTGGCCATTGACTTCGAACCCTAACGTCTTTCCTACATCCCCTGAGACAAGAAGGAACTGATGCCTGCCTGGGTCATGCTGCTGCCCCTCCCTTTGTGTGAATGGCACCCCCTGGGTTTGTGCAGGGCAGCCCTGACCTTAACCAAATCAGATGGAGGGGAGAGATTCCTAAGCCAAAAGACACCGCTCCTCCCGGACTCACCCTGCAGCTTACCCTGGAAGTGCGTGGCAAAAGGGGAGAGAACAAGCCTTTCTCAAAGACTGGA